GAGAGAGAGAGAGGAGAGCGAGAGAGAGAGAGAGAGAGAGACAGAGAGAGAGAGAGAGAGAGAGAGAGAGAGAAGAGAGAGAGAAGGAAAATAAAAAAAGGTCAGGGATTGCAAGCTTCGAAACTTCGATATGGTTTTTGTTTTGTTGTGCCTTCGATGCCATTCTCACGAGCGGTGGCACAGTCACTCAGAGGGGGCGGGGGTGTTATGAGAATGTGTCAACGGCAGGTACGATTTCAAAGAACAATGATTGCGAAAAATAGTGACAGCGTTTGCAAAATGCATAAACAATCAAAACCATTCTTTAAAATTGTTCTTTCTTCAGGTTTCCAGACTAATTTCTCGATGCATGCTGTTACTCGTACATAAAGTGTATTTTTGCTCACTAGTGATATGGTGTGTTCAAGGTGGTTTCACAGGTATTTCAGGTTATATTCAACTTTTATTATATCTTACTTTTAAAGTATAAGAAGGTCGCACGGCCAACTGCTCAGCACAGCATGTAAAGTGTGCTCTGTTTTACGTAATGTAGCCTTATCTTCCCCCATGCCTATCAGCTTTCTCTTAAAAAAAAGAATTTCATCACAGAAGTCTCAACACGTTTTTAAAGGAAAAGGCTATAGAAATCACTAACCAGTTTAATTTGCGTTGCCTGTGACGTGTGAGAAGCTGATTGGCGCAGGAGGCCGGGCGCCGCCATTGGCTCCCGTGGCCTGTATTTATACTGCCTCGTCTTCGCAGGTTATCATTTGAGAGACAGCGGGAGCAGCGACAAGACAGGAAACAAAGCAGCGCTCGCCAGAAATACCACGAAACTGAAGAGTTGGTGTACATAGATTGCAGTGAACAAGTGTTGAACAAGATGATTGTGAACGCCACTTCCCCCATGGTTGTCGTGGCCAACAGGCTTCCATTCATCGTACAGAAAAACGCAGAGACAGGCCAGTTCGAGAGAAAGCAATGGTAAGTATGAATGACTCAAGTGACAGTTCATTCATGTTTTTGTATGAAGTGTTTGGTGATCATACACTACGTGAAAATAGATAATTAAATTGAAAATAAAACTTTTTCCATGTGGTCTCTTAAACTTACGTGAAACTATTACTTACGTACTAGCTTTATAAGATCACTTACCATCAGCAGGGAATAATGTGTGTGTTAATTGACCTGTAAATTGACGAAAAACATTGACATTTCTAAAATCTACGGCTAATCTCTGCCATATTTTAAGTATGAATTTTGGAAATATAAGAAAAAGGTCAACTTCAGTATTCCATTGGTTGCTTCACGCGTCAGTATTATATTGTTCCTCGATTCTTTATAATATACACTTAACATAAGAATCAATAACAATATGCAAGCGCTCTTCATCACTAACCAACACATACACACTCCAAACACGCCTTCACACGGTGCCAACGAACTCAGTGTCCCCCTTTTGTTTACAGCGCTGGTGGGCTGGTGACCGCCGTTGCCCCCGTTGTAGTGGAGACCAATGGGCTGTGGGTAGGGTGGTCGGGCCAGCACCTCGAAGACGGGGAGCATGACATCCCCGAAGCCAATCCAAATGACCGCTCTCCTACAGCAGGTCTTAAGAGTCGACAGGTAATATATAGTGTGAATATGATTGTGAATAGCTTCTATTTTCTTGCTATGAGATTTGTTTTAAAGTAAGAAACATATATGTTGATAATTATTTTTATATATGTATGTCTGCTCCATTGCAGGTGATTCCCGTGAGGCTGCCTCAGAAACAGTTTGATGACTATTACAATGGCTGTTGTAATGCCACCTTTTGGCCTCTCTTCCACTCCATGCCGGACAGGGCACTTTTCCAGTCAGATAAATGGGAGGTCAGTATTATGGTCTTGCAAGTTTATGACATGCTATGTCGAACATTTATGATTTATACAATGTAATTTAATACTATTTGCATGACCAAATCAGTTATTATGAAAAAATGCAGCCTCAAGGTAACAAAACTCGTCTTCGCACTCCAGGCTTACAGGCAAGTCAACGAGCATTTTGCAAAGCTGACGGTCGAGGCGGTCGTCAAACTGGCGGAGACGAACCCCAACAGTGTGCCCCTCGTTTGGCTCCACGACTACCACCTCATGATGGCCGCCAACAGCATCCGAGACAGGTGCGACAGGCTGGGCCTGCAAATTAAGATGGCATTCTTCCTGCACATCCCCTTCCCTTCGTGGGACATCATGCGACTCTTTCCCTGGGACGACGAGCTCCTGCAGGGGATCCTAGGTTGCGACTCCGTGGGCTTCCATGTGGAGGATTACTGCCTCAACTTCATCGACTGCTGCCAGAGGCGTCTGGGCTGCCGCGTGGACCGCGAGCAGATGCTGGTGGAGCACAACGGACGCACGGTGTCGGTGCACCCTCTGCCCATCAGCATTCCCTATGACAGGTTCGTCAGCCTGGCAGAGAAGGCGCCGCAGGTGGTCAAGAACAACGAGCAGGAGCAGCTGTTGCTGGGCGTCGACAG